AGGGACGTGGCGGGCGAGGGACGGCTGCGCAAAGCGCCGGTGGGAAGACTCCAGTTGACGACCTTGGAACGTACAGTCTTCGCCTTGGAGGTCTTGGATTTATTAGCTTGCGGGATGTTCGTGACGGTTCCGAGCGGTAGGCGGCGGTCGTGGTATTCGTTGCTGGGGGAGCCGAAGTGCTGCGGGGACGTGTCGTCTGCCGCGAGAGGGGGCGTGCATGTGGCTTCGTGAGGATCGAGGGCAGCGACGGCAGAACCACGCTTCGAGAGCGGAAAGGATCCTCCTCAGGATAAACGTGGTCGAGATTAATATCAGTTACAATGAAATCTGGGTGTATATAAATGAGTGGTGCTATAACCAGTGAAGAGCAACCACGAACCGTTATCGGGGCCATCAGGACACTCTGCGCCGACGAGGATGTCTACGAGTTGGTCCATTAGCCTAACGAATTCAATTAAGGATCAAGACGTACCACTAGAAGTGGTTTCGCTCTCTACGTCGCTCTCGCTGGCCCGAACACCGTACAGCAGAGCCAAGAAGTAAGAGAGGGCGTCTCCAAAGTAATGTTCAAGGAAAGTGTGGATCTGAGCGAGGGTGGACATCTGGGGGCTGATGAGGTAGTAGGTGTAGAGGCGAAAGATGGAAGGCGGCTGACATCCCTGCGAATTCGGCCCACCGGTGATTATTTGCGGTCGACGGTCGATTTTACGATGCTCACGTGGTCCGATTTACATGAACGGTGGAAACTGGGGTCAGAGACCCGTCTGCATACGGCGGGACTGGTTGTGAAGGTCCGAGAGAAGAAGTGTTTGATCGCATCATGCGCGGACGTCCTCTTATGTTCTTATGTTACACTTCTAAGTTCTATGCAATGCTTGATGCAATAAGAGGCGTCGGTTGCGTAAGCCGACGGGACTGTAGGAGATGGGGGAAAGGTAATATAAAAGAGAACGGCAATGCTAACTGATTTTAAAAATGAGACAAAACGGATGGACACATTGGGAATTGAACCCAACACCTCTCGCATATCCATGAAATGCTAAGCGAGCGTGATAACCAACTACACCATGCGCCCTGTAGTATTTGTTAAGCTTATGACCTCACCTCTCGCTTCCGTCGTTTGCTCTGCATTTCGACTTGTAAGCCACTTACCCTTCCACAACCACAACCACCAAATCCTTAGCCAACCCATGCGATGCATGGAGTCAACCGTCGCACCCATTCAATTGGAAAAAATTCCTCGCCATTGCCATGTTCAATGTACCCAGAGTCCAGTCCTCGACTACAGGGACTGACGTGGCGCTTCCGGCATTTTTTTTTTTTTTTTTTTTTTTTTTTTTTTTTTTTTTTTTTTTCGACCCACGTCTGGTGTTGCATGGGTACTTCCAGAGGCCAATTCCTTGTATTCCATGCTGTCTGGCCTGATTTGGTGGATGGCTCGATCAAGTTTTAACAATTCTTTGGATAAATAAGATCTTCTTCTTTTAAGCTATCTAACAGAGTTGCATGTCAAATTGAACTCCGACGATTATGTAATAACGGCGCGACCTATACGCGGTGGCGCGGTTAACAACAGACTAGTATTCTGCTTGCTGTTGTGCGTGAAAGAACAGATTCGATACTCCTATTCGAATGCCCACAACCAGTTGCCACGCTTGAATACTGCCCTGCATCTCGTAAACTTGCATTCCCATATCGTCACATCTCTGTCTAGCCTCAATTAACCAGGCTGCTTCGGTCTTATTATGAGATCTGTCTCTGATATCACCAACCTCTGCTCTCTTCCGCCATTTTTTAATAACCACAACAAATGCCCCCCTACTCCCCCTCTTCGCCGTGGCACGGCTTCGGGATCTTAAACTCGCCATCTGCTGCAACCAGGAGTCAGGATAACTTGAAATGCCTGGGTTAATAATTCTGGCGAGATTACATTCAAACTTTGAGAACTCATCCGGTATCCGTGCGCTTCCCTCTTCTTTCGAGCTTCCTTCTATGAGCCGTCTTGACTCTCGTGCGGTCCTTCGCGACACTGACCATCGTTCCGCTTCTTAATTTCCGACTATACTTCCTGTGTCTTCGACGGCACACCCTCCTTGCCTCGCCATGGTCCCGTGGTTGACACTGCCACCGAACAAGTTATAATCCCAAGGATCTCGACAGCACTGCAAATATGGGCGGCCGGCGCCCTACGGAATCTGATGCTCGCCTATCGTCTAGGGTCCTCGCCGGTTGACGCTCGCATTGAAGCAGTTCAAGTTAATCCGAAGGATGTGCACAATCTCGACAGACTCGTTCTACAACCCAACGCGGTAGTTGCTCTATGAACCGCGCACTTGATGCTCTCGGAAGATTATCAACAAATATCGGTACTACCCATAAGTATACTTATTTCTTCTCTGTTGGCGGCTCCTACGGTCTTTCAGTGTCCAATTACGATGGACACTACGGAGATATGTCGGCCTGTTTACGTTTACGCCATCCCAGTGTGCAAGGACAACCACGAAACTGGTACCCATGGAATCCGATTAAGCACCATTGTGCGCGTTGGCTTTGATACAACCGCCCACCAAATAAATAGCACCGAAGACAGGCAATACAAATCAGTACCTCTTCTTGTACCCGGGATACTTATTGTACATCTCCTCGTTGAGCTTCTTCATCTGCGGACAACCCCATTTTTGCAGCAGGTCCGTATCACCCCCCGCCACGAACGCGGCCGACGCCAGCACCTGCGACGGCATAGCCAGCTGCAACACCTGGAAACAGAAGCAAATCGTGTTGTTGCCCTCGAAGAGCGTTTTGTCCGTGTACGCGCCGTCCGTGAGCTTGGCCATGTCCATCGGCGTAAACGAGTTGACTTCGCCCATGTTGCCGCCGGGCGTCAAGGTGCGTTGCGCGGCCTTACCGAGGGCGATGATTTGGGATGCGGCTTGCACATGTGTGTAGTCGACCGGGCGGCGGTACCAGCCCTCCGGGATACGCTCGTGGCCGGTGTTGTATTGTAGGTTGCCGTCATTGTCGATGGAGAACCCGTAGAGCGTGTACAGGTCCTCGTCGGAAAGGTATCCGTCCGGATGGGCAGGGTCGAAGTTCGGCAGGACGTTGGTGACGAAGAGATGCGTCAGGGTGGATATGACCTGTCAGACAGTAAGGAGTCAGGACAAGAAGACGGGATCAAGTTGAAAGCCCTGCGTACCATGGAATCTGGCCCGAAGAAAAAGTATGGATTGGTCGCGACCGAATTGTCATAGCGCTCAATTCTGTGGTCGATGATGCCGCCGGAGATGAGGCCGTTGGAGTTGTTGTTCGCCGCGAGGAGGGACTTGAAGAATGGCTTCTGGAGATCGTGGTTGTTTCCGCTGCCATCGCGATGTAAATTTCACCGAAAACGAGATGACACAGTCAGCACGCACTTGAAAGCATAGTAGTCGCCTCGGGTTGGAGACGAGTCGGCTTCGAACGTGTTGTGTGTCCCACTCAGTCCTTGCCCATCTTTTTAAAAGATATCGTCAACCACGGCTTAAACTTCTGAGAACAAATGAGACCACGAACCAAAGAGAGACGCGGGTACGAGCGAAGGCGGCGGTGGCCCTCCGATCGAGAAGTGCACCCCATCGCCGCTACCGTACACCTGCGCAAGGAGTATTGCGAGCTCCGTAAAATCGACGCCGAATCCCCACACTGAAAGTCATGAGCTCAATACGATAAAACAGAAGGGAACACGCACCGAGATTAGGTATTGTCGTTCCCTCCTCGACCGTGATGTACCCGCTGTGCGGAAGGTAGTTGTGGTTCGCCAGTGCGTTCATAGCCGGGCAAGGTCCTCGCATGTCGTCGGCGGAAGGTGGAACGAAAGCATGTTTGCCGCTGACATCGATGCGGCGCGGCGCGAGCAGGGTGGGGAGGGCTGGCGTTTTGGGTTGAATCTGGTCAAATGAAGGGAACGCATATGCGAGCGAGATTGAGAGAAACGATAGGAAGAGGGTAGTGGGTTTCATGGTGGTCATGGAGAGGAAAAAAGAAGGATAATGCACCAAAATGGTCAGCCGCCTTCAACTTGTCAGCCCTGCAAACATCGGAACCGAACGGGAAGTCACGCGAGATAGGGGCGACCTCTCTCAGTTTGGATAGTTTATAGAGGCTTGCGACGCGTGAGCACTTGAACCAATAAGTGAAGGATGATCGCACCACAATCATCTGTTTCCCCGCCTTGAGCATTGTAAATAAATATTGTGTAGCGGGGCACCGCAGGTGCTGACCGAAATTGGCCCGAAATTAGAGCACGAAATTGGCTGAGTCTGATCAGGCCTTACAAGTCCGTCAGGTCTCATCAGCCCCTGATAAGGTAAAATCGATTTTTGCGACACACACACACACCTAGAGAGTTGTTAGTCTCAAGCACTTATTCGTTCCCAGTCCACATATGCCAACTTCAGCACATGGGGGATTTTTACATCAGGTGGTAGCCACACATCGTTCCCGACAGCCGCCGGCACAACATGAGACACCCGGACTTGTTCAACCAGCTCCTTCCCGCAATCAAGCTCGTCAGAGCTATTTGTGTCAACCTCCTGCACTGTCTGCTGCATATTATCCACTTCAACTGCACCGAACTCACATTCATAATCTTTCAAACCAAAAAATCTCCGTCCAATCCAGGTGAGTTGGCCGATGAAAACTCTTGCAACCAACAATTGATTGCAGGAGGTCATATACTCCCCTGAACCATCAACTGCTGCAAAAGACTGGGCAGTATGCAGCAGCACACACAATACTCGCTAGTAGTGTGGGAATTACGGATGCTGGGTGAGTCCCCAAAGAGCATGATGAGACGGATAACATCCCAGAGTCGATATAGTGGCTAGCTATAACAGTTGTAGGCTGTGTATATAAACATTAATTCAATCAAGTCGCGTGGTTCGATTTCAAATGTGTGTGTATTTACTATTAGTAACCTATTGGACAACTAGTAAAAAGAGCGTGGGGAAAAACAAAAAATGTGGAGGAGCTGGGAATTGAACCCAGGACCTCTCCCAATCAGATAGTTGACGAAGATCAACTGTTGCGAAGGGAGCGCGATAACCCCTACACTACACCCCCATGCAGATAATCTCAAACAGTGAGCTAATATTGTCATCGAGTGAATCTTAGCTAATGTGGTTTTGAACCGGTCCGATTTTCTGACCCTCGGACTGAACTTGGGGCTCGGTCCATCGAAGCACACAACCTCGGAATCGAACTCTAGGTCTGATCCTCCTGTTCAGATTCATTGGCAGTTAAGAACATGACCACGGCAACACTACTATAGCCAGGACAGGCACACATATTGGACGGAGTGTCATGATTCAATCTTTCCTTTTGCCTACTTAGCTAAGATCAGGAGTGATCGCGCCTTGGCGGGTCACAGATACACTCCTTTATGTTCTCAGCAGGAACTTATAGGCTCTTCTCTGTTACATATAGGATTTTGTGCCCAATTTCAATGTGACACGCAAGAGGCGTTTGATCTCCTTATCGTGGATATATTCCCACGGTGGACCTACCCCCCAAATAAGGCAAGTCTGAGTCAGCGGCGCTTGCTCGGCCATCAGTCTACCAAACACCTGCAACCGACCATGACACCCGACGCGTCCAGCGCGTCCCATTTACCCGTTCAGCGCGTTTCGGCGCCAATCTGCAGCACCAACGATGGAGGGCTAGTAACCATGTGAATATTGTACATGCCCCACTGTCAAATAATCGAAATCTATCTTGGGAAAATGGCTCGTCTACATCTTGGCAAGACACGTCGTCGTCTTGGCAACACGCGTCGACATCCACCTTCCGCATAGCTCAAACTCCTCCCTCCCCCTTTCTTGACATCCAAAATCTACATCCGCCTTCCGAGATCGGAGATGTCCGTGTTGATCCCGTTGTTGCCGAAGCCTGTTCCGGGCTCGATCAGTGGCGCTCACGTGTACAGATCAACTTCCACGATCCAGAGATCGCTCACCCCTTGGTGACACGTCCACGTTATGTATGAGCCAGAAAATGTAGAGCTGGAATGTATTGCCTGGTATCAAGACATTTGATTTAAAATCCCTTTCGCGGGCGCATGGTGTAGTTGGTTATCACGCTCGCTTAGCATTGCCTGAACATGCGAGAGGTGTTGGGTTCAATTCCCAATGCGTCCATTCTTTTTGCTCTCTTTTGGATTGTCAGTCGTTCCTTGTCACTTTGGGGTCCACCTAGGTGAGTGAGCTCTATTGTATGCGACAACTACTGCCCCAGGAAATGATGCCTGTTCGACTAGCGCCCAAGTCGTACTATGTTGTGGTCCATGGCCGGGCTGTTCCAAACCAATGTTGCAGTTTCCGGGGTCTACATACCCGCATGGCTAAATCATAATACTCTGAGCCGGACTAGCCAGCGAGTCCCTGTATGTGAATTCGGATTTTTTTCTTTCACGGATCAAACCAGATCCTCGAAACGAAAACACGAGCCCTTGCTAATGAATGAGTCTGCCCGGGATTCACAGAATCTCCTCCACGCCCTCCAATAAAGTCGCTGGATCGCCCCTGAGCCGCATCTTCTACGCCAGAGCCACCATGGTCCACACCGTCGTGCATAGCCCCACTTGGTGCCGGGAGCGGCACGTCGAACGAATACGGACCCGGGCCGGGGGGGCTCATTATATGCATCTCCAGGTGCCTGCGAGCAGCCCATGCGGGTGGGCGGCCCTCAGTGCCGTCTTTCAGCACGCCGGCGACGGTGATCACCGCCGTCCTACGGGAGTAGTAGAAGGGGATATAGAACTGGGCGCACGTGTTGGGGAGTAGGAACTGCGTCTACGGTCTGACGGGTGAGCACGTCTTTCCGGAATCTCAGATAGTCATAGCGCAGGACAAGTCGCATGAACACGCGGTCGTGCGGGGGCAGCCGTTCCTCTCTGGGTGCATGAGCGGCTTATAGGAGGGTGGGGAATAGGGGACATACCCTGTGAGGCTGCGGAGTTCTTGGATAAGAAGTCGCAGAACACAGTGATCCAAGTCGGGTGAGTTTTACTTAGACTGAGATGTTGAGTCGGTAAAGCTCCGTGTTTGACGAAGATGCCTAACTACTGGTAGGTACTGACTATTTATACTATAGGACTAACTACGGAAACTACGGAATAACTGCGCCGGCAGACTGCGGCAGCGCTGTGCCGCTGTTGCAATCCACTGTGCAACCGCACCTTGACCGCGCCGCAAGCCTGCGGCCGCGCGGCGCTGAAAAGCTAGAAACTGGTGCGTATGGTGAAACCTTTTAGGATAAAAGGTCCAGCCAAACTAAACCAATTTAGGGTCTTTTACTTGTTGTTCGGGATTCGCGTGGCAGGAGACCACGATGCGAAGATGGAAGTGGAGTTGTTGTGGAGTAATAGTTCTTGAAGTATTCGAACGAGTCTGCAAAAATCTCTAATCGTGTTCCGTTTCGTTCCCATTAATTCCCGTAAGTCCCGTATGTTCCGTTCCGTTAATTTCCGTGTGTGTCAAGCGAGTTCCAGCGAATTTGTGGGTGAATTGCCCGGGGGCCAGTGTGTCCTGTCTACTACATTTTGTGCCCTTTTATACCCTAACTATTTGTAGGCCAAAACAATATGCCACACCTGCAAACTGGGCAACCGTTACCCCAGCGCCGCAGTGCTTCAATCCTCTCTGCAACGCAGACTCGTATCTTGGCAATAATCGCGTTTTTCCACCGTTCCCATGGATTTGACACTTCCTGGGGCAGTCCTGTGGCAACCCCAAGCTCGCTGTCGCGTAAAACTCCCTACGGTCGCCTTGGTTCACCTTCAGACGCGTCAAGACACGTCGACTTGGCTAGGTTGACACTCGTTTGATCTGTTTCGGAACTCCCCGGATCACGTGCTGTTGCCCTGCCCGCGCCCGCGGCCTCCGAATTCCTGTGTACGCCACCGTCGCTCGCCAGCCTAATGCACTGGTGGGTGGCGCACAATGGTTTCCCTGGTTACCATTCTTTCCTGAATTGTCCCGTAGCCCCGCGCTAACACAGCAACATTTCCCAAGTCCATCGACCCGCGGCCTCAGCGGTTTCCCAGCAAACACCGTTTGTAGTTCAATCTTAAATGTGCAAAATGCACCCGCTCATCAGCGCGCTGCGCTGTTCGGGACTCGGTGCCGAGAGCCGATGTGAACCCTTACATACCCGTGGAGTGCCGGAGCGAACATATTTTGGGGCACACGTTGCGATGGCCCGCGCGAAGTCCGAAATTTGGCACGACTTTGAGCAATAGTACAAGTCCTGGGAGGAGCCGCATCGCCGGGATACGAGATTGGATATTCCACCGGCGCCGTCAGCTGGCTGCTCCAGTGCCGCAGACCGAACCAAACTCCGTCATGCCACAGATCTATTATCGGCGACTGGCAACCGAGCCACCTTACCACCTTTGTCCTCGAGCCGGGGCAGGGCCTCGAATATATAAATGTCTATCGGCTGGAGAACGAATTCCTACATCTTATGAGTGAGTAGGTATATTTTGGGGAATTTAGATGTGCATTCCATCGTGTGCGCAATTTTATTTCTGACAAGATCCCAAAATGGAAATAAACGGCCTAGTGGGCCACCTGCCCAATCGTTCTTTCGCAACAGTATTGTTCACCCTAAAGCACTCCAAATCATTCAATGGATAGAGAGACATTATTGGGTACACTCAAGCTGCATATCTGATCTGTACGGGGCCCATAACTGCCTGCCTGCCGCCCCACTTATACAGGGTGAGATTGCTGTCCGGGCGGAATTGCCTACCTTCCGAAGAGCACAGTGTACCAAAGTACAAAATAAGGAGCAGTTCGTTCCAGGGGAAGTATTAGGACATACCTGAAGGCTAAGAACCATCTCTACATACCCATACCCAGTCCAACAAAATCCATCTTTATCCACCCCAGAAATTGGGTACTTGACACTAGGAGCCCGGTATGAATAGAAACCATGGCAGTGAAAAGCGAAATGAGTGTTGGAAAATAGTGGCTTGGAGGTAATGAATGCCATGATCAAGTCCCAAGTTGTTCGCTGGCACTGGTGGATTGCTATAGAGGGGGCCCGATTGTGCCGCTCGGAATCAGGACAAGAGAATTCTGCAGGGTCCAAGAGGCGAGGGAGGATATTTTTTACACATGGTATGGCCCAAGGACATAAAGCCGAGTCAAGCGATGCGAACGAGCCCCAAAGTTTGTGAATCGGTGAAGAATTGGTGAAGAAACAAGCCCGACACGACGACGGCGGCTGTTCGGAGATAAGAAATGATGATCAGACACCCGGCATCTCAATCGGGATCTGCCGCAACCTTTGATCGCCGCGTCGAGCTGCCTCGAAATTTGACATACAACGTCGTCGTAGGTCCCATTCTATCCTATAACCACCAAATGTGAGGATTCAATATCAAAAGACCTTATATTAGGCAAGTGGCCCACTAGCTAGTTCGGCCCACTAGCCAGTCGCTGATAATAGTAGAAGCAGAGTTGAGACAACCCCTTCTGATTACGCGATCTCCTCCTGCACAGTTTTCCATAGCAGGCGCACGGACACCTGGGGTAGTTGTAATGACCGCTAATCCGCCTTCAGACTGAAGACAGACCAGCAGGGCCAAGTGAAGCGCCCCAGGAAACCCGTTAGAATCAAGGAGCGCACGATAGTTTCGGATACTGAACGGGACGGGCCAGCTAAAGAAGTATTTTCAACGAACTTGGGGGTTGACCGAGGAAGGATCGTGTGGTGAAAGTGTATCGTGGACGGTACGCAAGAATCGAGTGGCACAGTTCCGGAAAGAAATGGCCCGATGCCGATGCGATAGTGTCCTACAAACTGCACTCTTTCTGTCACCACATAGAATGAGCCCGGTTATTGGGGGCGCATGGTGTAGTTGGTTATCACGCTCGCTTAGCATTGTCTGAACATGCGAGAGGTGTTGGGTTCAATTCCCAATGCGTCCATCCTTTTGTCTTTACCCCGTCCTTGCGAAGTCTTCCAGAATCAGAGATTCGAAAGTTGGTTACCAAGGCTTTCTTCAAGCAATTACTTTTCATCCAATTTTTGAGGATCAGCACTTTCTATCAGTCAGA